AAGCTCTGTATAGTGAATATAAATAACTGTAATTGTGTCATATATTTAAAAATTCTTTTTCTGGTGATTCTTTTGCTATTGATGGTATTGGGACATTGAGAAGGTTTTCATTTTTATGTGGTAAAACTTTTATTTTCTGTGGCTGCTATTGTGCTTAAAATTATTTTCCCTGATACTGGAAATTATATTCCTATATGAGCTTTAAGTTATTTCATGTTTTTATAAAAATTGAAAATCTAGTGAATATATATATATATAGTTGGAGACTTATGGTCAATCAATTGTCCTAGTATACGTGTATGTATGTGTGTATTTTTCTTTTGTCTATTTATTTGCTTTTAAATAGACTTTTCCTTTTTCACTGAATTAAAATTCCACCTTTATTGCATACTATACTCTTTATGGTAGCTCTGGTGGCATAGTGCCTAAGGCATCTGACTGCTACCCAGAAGGCTGGTGGTTCAAACCCACCAGCCACTCCTCGGAAGGAAGACTGAGTAATCTACTTCCGTAGCGATACTGCCTCAGAAACCCAAGGACGGGCCACTATGAGTCAGATCCGACTCGACAGGGGTGAATTTGGTTATTTTGGTTATATTCTTTATGCAGCTTTAGCCCTGGACAGTTCTCTCTGGAGGTTTGTCAGTCACACAGGATAATGTTGTATTAACTGTTACAGTTTTATAATATGTTTAAATATCTGATAATGCAATTTCTCTTAATTCATTTGAATTTTTCAAAGCTTGCAGGAAGGCAAATTAATATAGTACATGTGTCAACATTATTAGTAGATAAAGACAACAGAAGAAGTTTTGAAATGGAGGGCAGCTGGGATCTGGGGGGAAGACGTGTCACTTTGGCTGGGCCTGTAATGATGAATATGATTTGGCTTGGCAAAGAGGAAGGAGAAAGGGCGTTCTAAATGGGAAAAGAGGCTTAGCCATAGCAGGCAGAATGGGTGGTGCAGGAAAGGTGTGGTAAAGAGATCTAGTGCGGTCAGCCCTCTGAGTCTGGGGTTCCACATGCACAGATTCAACCAACCAGTATTGAAAAAAAAAAATCGATTAAGTGTTCAAACCAATCCCTCAAAGGCGAAAAGGAAGCATGAAGTGCTATGCACATAGCATTTACACTATACTAAGGAGCTCTGGTAGCATAGTGCCTAAGGCGCTTGACTGCTAACCAGAAGGCTGGTGGT